GAGTTACACAGTTTCCATCTTCCGGGACATGCTGCAACAAACATCTTTTGGTTTGGCTACATCCAACAGATTGTGATTTGTGTTTGATTTATGTTCATATAGTGAGTGAATGAGTAGAGGATGAGTCAGTAAACATTTAAAAAGCAACATGCCTGTGAGTGATGTAACAGTCGTGCCTTTTGAGAGTGAAGTCAAGACATGCAAAGTGTCAGGGGAGCAGCTACTACTGCTCAGTCTTTGTATACGGTTTCTATAACAGAGATTGGGTGATGCATTTTTAATCTTTTATTATCTGTGTTTATAATTTTGCTTATAGGCAGATCGCAACTGGCCTTAGTCGAAGAATCGCTCTTATCTTCTCTTTATATGATTGAATTAAGTTATATATTCATTTAATTTTGCAAAAGTCTTAAAATTACTTGAACTCTTTTTCACATTTTGCCATGAATCAACCTCAAGCATAATTTTATCAATGCAAAGTAGGACGTAAATGGTGGAAAGAAGAGTTTTTAGTTTTAAAAATTAAAAAAACTTCCAAACTGGTGTAGGTCAATGCCAATCTAACCCATGAATATGTCCTGACATAAGTACTCTATACTGTACATACTGAAATTTGTTTTCAGTAAAAGTTAGAAAATTGTGCACTGTTTTCCTTCCTATTCACCAAAAATGCTTGATGAACGCCCTGTGAACTTACTTCCAAGCATTTTTTTAAATGTTAGCTTTGAAGTTAACATGTTCCTCTTTCACCCTCAACTATTCTGGTTCCAGATGTGACCTGTGAAGAATAACCGCCGAGCGCACCTTTCATCATAATGAGGTAAAAGTTAGGCTGCACCTTGAAGGCAAAAAGTTTCTCTGGAACACAAAAAGCGACAGCTTTGAAATATTGATTTGGCAGCAAGGAAAAACGTCTGGTCCTGATGGACAAAAAAACAGTTTTATTAAAACAATATGCTTCAGAGGAAATCAAAGTGATGTTTTACTTTGGGGAAAATTATACAATACCCTCCAAAAGTTGATATACTGATTGGTGCATTTTTGTTGAAAAATATGTAAGCATTTATAATTCACATGGTTGATATTGTTTACTGTATTTTTGTTAGAGTCAGTCCATTTTCAAGAGATTTGTACGTTGTGTTGCTTTGTTCTTTTATCTGACTGGGCACATTTGCTTGTTTGGTTTTTGTTTTATGCCAGCAGATTAACGAGTCATAATGATTAAAGTTCAATTACAACACGCCATATTTTCTTGGAAGATTTGTAAACAGTTTGATTTGCTGAGTCACTTTCTAAAGCTGCGGCGCCCTCTTCAGGCAGAAGCTTACACTCGCAGCCTTCCCCGGGGAAAATCATGTCGTTGACAATAGGAGGAGCTGCTGACTCATGTAATAATAGCTTTTCTATTTCATTTTATTTTTTCATAATATTTTATGTCAAAACTATGAATTAAGTAGGATTGAATAAATGGTGCTAGGAGGGAAAATGAAGCAATAATTATGAATCTTAGAGGGGTGTTGACTTGCAGAAACCACTTTAATTTGCTAGGTTTCACAAATCCTTGTTAGTTTGCAACATTTTCTGATTTGCCTCAACTTCTTTTCCTAATCCAGATATTTCACAAAATACTTTTCCAATTGGGTCAAGCCGACTCTTTGCAGAACAGACTTTCTTTGAGATAAGATTTTCAATAAATTTTCAGTACTGAAATTCTTTAATAGTATAACAACTAAATGCCCAAATTTAAGCAGAATTAGTTATATCCATGCTGTCTGTTTAAATCTGCATGAAACCAAGCATGATGTGTTTTTAATCATTTTCAAGATGCCTCAGCTTAACATGCCTTCCTCCTAATTGAACTGTGAAATTATTACTTAATTTCTTTACATCGCACAAAAAATAACACTTTTTAGAGCCACTGTTTGTGACAGAACCCATGTGTGCAGCTTCAAGATGTATTATATATTATTGTATTACATGTAAATTGATGTTTATTGAAGAAAATGACTGGTATGAAAGCTCCGTGTTCGTTGCTTTTACCTGATGAGATCATTCAGGTTACTCAGATGAAGCGGATTCTGTGCAGACAGCAAATTAAATCAGAGACATTAGAGGATTCACATCACTGTCTGACCCGGAGTGAGTCATGACCATATGACCAAAAGCATAAGTACATGGTCTCACCGTATGTAAAACGATGAAAATGATCCTCCAGGAAAGCCTCTGCCGTGCATGAGCCGTATTAAATGAATTAACTATAATCTGATTTGGCATTAATGAGATCAGTGGTATTTATAATAGCAGAGGGAATAACAACAAATGATCCCACTGAGAGAAAGCAGGCAAACAGAGGAAGAGATGGATATTATCCAGATGCTGCTGCTCTGCGTCGGAGATGACTGCTAGTCCAGAAAACCCTCAAATGACCACCTGAACCCAGGGAGGGCAATTAACGGCGTCAAAATATTTTGCTTCTGTCCCCACTGACAGACGTGGTGTCAGAGCTTGTCATAATTTGCAGAGATTATATCACGTCACCGCTTGTTTTTTTCCCCGAGTCTCATCCCAGATCCCTGCTGGCTCATAATCACAGATCCATGAGGTGACAGCGCTGGGCCTGCAGCAAGCTGCTAATGAAAAGCCATTTAGCGGTGAGCCAGGACTCCTTAAGTGATCCAGACAGTTTCTCAGGAAGGAAACGAAGAACACTGCTAGCTAATAAACCTTTCTCTAAATGTGGTGTCACACTGATTGATCTTATTTAGCTTTTGGTGGGCACTGACTCGAAATGTGAAGCTGTAAAAGCCCAATTTAGCATTAAAATATTCTCCAACTGTTTATTGTTTTCTTCCCCAAACAAAATAAGCAAATCATGTAGTAACAAAACAAGCTTTAAGATCCTTTGTTCTAAATTCCAGAGGAAATCGTAAAACTTGCAGCCAAAATTTCGCATCGTTTCAGTTCACATCGAGATGTTTACTGGGTGAGAGCGACAGTAATGCAATCCAGAGAAATACAGAAAACACAAGCTGACAATAGAAAAGCTGGATATTTGGACTTTATAAGACCGAGGCTGTGGTTTCTTTAGCTAAAGCAAAATTTAAAAAGGCTCTGACAAACAAATCAAAACAAGTTTTGGAGTCTGAGCAAGGTTCAGTAAAACTGCTTTGTTTGATCTGAAATGCATCGAGCGTTCTTTATTCTTGGGGCTATAGTTTTATTTTTGCAGGCTATAATTTATCTTTGATCAGGTCTGAATCGGTGGCCCTTGTGGGCTTGGCAGCATTTGCACTCAAAAGTCTTTGAGTTCATGTAGCCTTGAAACTCGCTTTGCATTTGGTATAAGTAGCTTCAGTATAAATTCGATAGAGCACTTTGTCTTTAATTCCACCCTTCTAAGTAATTTGCCTCACATAATCATGACTCTTTTTATTTTCACCAAGGACCTGCAGCTGTTTTTAGATTTAAGCAGTGAGCCACAACTCAGTTGAAGAGGGTAGATGTGAACCGAGGATTCATGCCCTTCAAGATTCGTCGAAGTAGGACATATAAAGGACGCATTGAGCAAAACATTTTGGAAAGTCATCCTTGCTATAGCATGCAGACTGATATTAGTAGCTACAACAGAGATTAATAAAAGAGGAAACGTGTCTGAAAACGTTCTTGTCTACGTCTCTATTTAAAAACAGAAATATGCAGAAGTAATTCTGCATATTTAGGAAGCTGCTGCTTTTCCATCATCTCAAATCATTGTGTGTATGATTTCACTATACATTTTCTTCTGTTTAATGGCTTGGGTTGTAATTGTTCTGTATATAGGCATGCATTTCCTATTTTTAATATGTTTTTTGTCAAATTTCTTGATGCAATTTTAATTGCTTTATAGGCAAAAACAGTGAGTAACCATCCCCACAACAGACAGCTGTAAAATAACGTAAAATTGAACCTTCCAGTCATAAACAGTGATAAGGATCGTCAGACACAAATGACTAACAGCTCAGCCATAGATTAGGCTCTGGTAAGTGAATGTTACACACCAGCTTTGACTGTGCATTATTAACCTTACTCCCTTAATAATTCTGATAGGCTAGACATTACCTCATTTGTCTTCTCTGTAGGTTTGTGTCTAAAAAACAAATTACCTAACCAATTTATTTTCTTAACGTCCAGAAAGCAGCTATGTTAGCATAAATAACCTAGCTCTGATGACTTGGGTATGAAGCCCTCATGGCATATATGGTTGTATTTTAGACTTAAATTATAAAGGTGAAATGGCTAAACTAAGGTATAGTGTTTACAAGTATATATGGTTCTTTTTAATCATTTTGAAGTTGTTGTTTAATAACGGCTATCTATGATTTGCTTTTATCTCAATTTCTGCCCTGTTAAACCTGCAGAGTCACTAAAGGCAAACCAATCCTTGTACAGCAAAAGCCTCATTGTGTTTGCAATTAGGGGAATTACACGTTGCCAAACCTTTAAAGTTATACTTGGAAATTTACTGCAGTGAGTCACTTTGTTGAACTTGCATTATGCTTCTGAGGCCACTCCCATAAACACAAAAATCCCTCACAAAAAAATTCCTCACGGACCTTAATTTGTGAACTTTTCTAAAGCTGTCTGTGGTAGGAAGGTTTGATGCCAGAAAGACAATTTGCAAAAATATTTAACTCATAATCCTTAGTTACTGAATCACTAAGCAGTAAATAGGTCATGTCCAGATCACTATTGTTGTATCAAAGTGATTAGAGTTTACTGCACTATATTTTAACCATTCATCTCACATTAGGTGGCTAATTGGATGAATGGTTAAAATATAATTCAGTTAAGCCACTTTGAGTTAACTGAACTATATTTTAATCATTCATCTGTATGAATGGTTAAAATATAGCTTTTATGAGAATACCAGGTAACATACAGTGACTGCAACAATAAACCTGTGTACAAGAATTTTTAAATGTCCCCACATTCTCATACATAGAATAAAAGAACAGAAATAATAGAGTAAAAATATTATTATATTTTATTATACATTTTCCCTAAGAGGGCAAATTCAGGTGCAACAAAGTGTAAGTAAGTATGTAAACTTTATTTACATAGCACCTTTCACAGACATAAAAATCACAAAGTGTTTTACAAAAAAGGAAACACATCAACAATAAAAGAATCTGAAATCAATGAACAAAATTAACCAAAAGTCAGTCTGAAGAGATAAGTCTATCTCAATTTCTCAATTTTTTAAATGTGTCAGTTGACTCGGAGCAGCGCATTGATAGAGGCAGAGCGTTCCAGAGCCTCGGGGCCACCTCCTGAAATGCTCTGTCACCACAGGTTTTAAAATGAGTTCTGGGAACCGACAGCAGCATCTGATTAGAAGACCTCAGAGTCCTAGACGGACAGAGAGGCTTCAAAAGGTCCAATATATATTTGGGAGCCTCACCAGGAAGTGCTTTAAAAGTTAAAACCAAAATTTTAAAATGAGTCCTAAAATACACCGGGAGCCAGTGCAAAGAGGCCAGAACAGGAGTTATGTGATCTGTTCTGTGGGTTCTAGTTAAAAGCCTGGCTGCAGCGTTTTGCACAGACTGAAGGCAAGCCATGGGGGATTTACTTATCCCCACTAAAGGGCCGTTACAATAGTCTAAACGAGAAGAAATAAAAGCATGGACAATCATTTCTAATTCCTTCTGTGATAAAATAGCTCGCGACTTCGAAATATTCCTTAAATGGTAAAAACTGTTGTGAAGTAACAATTTGCAATGATTGTCCAATGACCTATTAAATTTGATGGGAGCAGTTATCGTTATAAAGTCTAACAGGTACTGGGCAGAAGGAGCTACGACAACACTCCTTTCACCGGAGATGCAGCAGTCTGTAACTGATGCTGCTCTCCAGTTTAGCAACAACTTCATGAAGAGTGGGTGTCATTCTTCACCAGTGATAGCCAGAGGCGCTCTATCTCCAGTACCTGCAATGGGTAGAGGGGACATCTTGGAACAGAGCTGGCCTTCATGATGAGCTTATCTAACCACTTCCTGTCAGCTGTAGATAAGCTGTTGCTCCAACATACTACAGTAGGTGGCTGATGCGACCACAGAGACAAAAATGTCTTCAGAAGTGACACCTACTCTTCAAAAAAATCTCACTTTCCCTCAGCAGATAGAGTCTGCTCTGACCCTTCCTGTGAAGAGCATCAATGTCATGAGTCCAGTCCAGTTTAGTGTTCAGATGAACACTCAGGTACTTATAAGACTTCACTATTTTAACATCCGTTCCCTGGATGTTCACTGGTGTCATTTTGGTGGGTCTGCGCCTGAGGAAATCCACCACCAGCTCCATATTTTTAGCAGCACTGATTAGGAAGCCCACTGGTACCAGTCTACAAAGTCCTGAGTCCACTGTCTGGACTCTGAGTCATCCTCGCCTATAATGAGGCTGACTATGGCAGAGTCATCAGATAACTTATGAAAATGGCAGCGTGGGGATTTGATGGAGAAAACTGCAGTTAGTATGAAGAGGAATGGTACTGTACCAGCACAGTTCCTTGTGGGGCCCTGGTACAGCACTGTATGGTGGGCATCCAGGGAGTTAGTCTGACATCAATTGGGGCATATGGTGTTCCGCTCCTGACCGAAGACACGTGGACTAAAAGAGACAGAAAAAAGAAACTAATTTAATATTTTTAAAAATTCTGTCTCTATAACAATGTTTCTTTTAATTTATGCTGTTTTGGAGGGGTTTTTTTCTATCTCTGGTTGTATTTAATGCCCTGGTTGGTAGTTAAATAATTGTCTAATCATCTTAAGAGCAATGTACATATCTTTGTCAGTGAAAAGCTGTAAAATAATTGGGTTTATTTTTCAAAAAAAGGTTACACAGTACATTTGTGCCACTGGTATAATGTGATCAGAAGTGCAAATAAATAGCTTATTCCAGCGACTTTCACAATGTTACATATGCTGTGACCATGTTAAATTTGAACTCATGCCTACTCAGGGACCTCCATCTATCCGAGCTTGGAATTGGAAAATTTCCACGATTCCTCAGTTAGAAACATGTAGAAGATCTGTTTCTAAGTACTCTAAAATATAATATAATCACTAATCTATATGTATGCAGGACATACTTGTTATACATGTATAAAAAATATTCTTTATGTAAAAAAATCCAGTCAAGCAGAGATCATTTATTTAAATACAGTCTCTTCAGGGTTGTTTTTTTATGTAACAGGTTTATCTCTTCTTTATAGCAATTTAAATGACAGGAACCTGCTTTTTAGGATCTCCACATTTTCCTAGAGAGCATGGAACAAGCAAAAAAAAAAAAAAAAATTGCAAAAGGGTTAAAAAGACTGACTGGATGGAAACAAATCTCCTGTCTTCCCCGTTTTCATTCCTGCCTTTGGCATATGTAGCAAGGACTACTGATAACGTGAGCCAGTCACAATGTGGGACATTATCTCAGCCTGTGGGACAAAGGGCAGGGGAAGAATGCATTTCAGTTTCAGAAAAGAACATGTGGTCACCAAGAGCAGAAGTTCCTAACATTTATAGCTTCTGACACAAAATAACAGAGGAAGAGACTAGAGATGTGCCAATCGGGTTTTTTCCTGCCGACTCCGATCACCCATGAGGGCCGATCCCGGCCGATCCCCGATACCGATCACATAATATTTTTTTTTTTGTCATAAGCACTACCAGTTACATTACGTGGAAAAAGGACCCATGAATTCACCATAATTTAGACAAAAACTTGTTTTTAATAACTTTTTCCAAGAAAAAAACAAAACAGGCATTGTGCAAATTGTACTGCTATTGGTAATACTATCTTTAACAGACTGAAAACATATGCAGGCTCTGAAGAGGTTAAATAATGCAAAGAGTCAAAATAAATTCTCTCAACACTGCCAAAAAATTCAAGTATAAAAATTTTCATTCAAAGGCAAATACAAGTTCCATAATAACAATAAACAATCCTGAGTTACTGAATAAAAACTTCCTGTTAGCATGGCGGCTAGCTGATTACTGGCTGTTTCTGACTGAGCGGAGTAATTATGCAGATCAGGGAGGAGATCGATTATTTTTTCAGATATTATTTGTCTCATGTTAGGACAGCGAAAGTTTTAATACGTATGTAAACTTTATTTTTTTAAGTTAGATGCTGCAGCTTTAAACAGAGGTTCGGTGTGAGAGTCACTACCACATGGAGCAGAAGCGGCGCTCCGTCTGTGAAATATTACTACCTGTAGCGTAGCAGCGGTTCAACAGCAAGAGCAGATTTCTGGATTTCTGACTCTCATCTTCTTAACAATACCTTACAGATTCTCTAAAAGGGTTTAGGTCAGGCCAGTTGTGATGGCCAATCAGGCAAAGTCATTGTGACTGTATTAGTTACTACTTTTGACATTGTAGACAGATGAAAAATCAGCATCTCCATATCACGTGTCAGGAGGGAAGTGCTCAAAAAACTTCCTGTTTGACAGCTGTGCTGACTCTGGACTTGCTGTAGCAGATGTCATAAAGTCACTAGTAAATATGAAAACGCTGCACTGGATTTCAAGTAACTTGGATTTTGTGTCGCTCACCCCTATCTCCACAATTTGGAAACTTGGTTTCAAAAGGAAATACAAAACTTAAATCGCAAAAGAGCCTTTTTTTCCCCTCAGCACCTGACATTGTGTCTGTTTCATGGATGGTTTAAAACAAGGAATGTAGTAGTTGTAACTATATTACTGGAATCTTTGAAGACGTCTATTTCAAAATAGATATGTTTTTTAACCACTATTGGTTTGTGGAAAGAGTAGTCATCTTGTAATCCAAAAGTTGTGGATTTGATTCAGGCTTTCTCCTGTCACATGTCAAGGTGCCACTGGGCAAGACACTTAATCCCCAGTACCAATATGCATATTGGTAGATAAATGTTTGTGAGTACGATTGGGTGAATGTTGCTGTAGTGTAAAGCACTTTAAGTTGTCAGTTAGAATAGGAAAGCGGCATATAAATTCAGTCCATTTATGGTTTAAAGAGCTGTGTATTTTGGACTTTGACAGCAGTGACATGCAGTCAAAAGACAGTTAAGAAGTAGTAAATAGATTTTTTTTTAGCATCAATGTAATATCAGAATAAATTCTATAATATACTGTGATCAAATTGGATGTTGATCACCCCATCCACGCCCTGAATTTGGCAATATGTGGGGTTGTGGAGACACTGACTTCAGCTGCAGTTCACATCTTATGAATCTCCCCAAATTCAAGGCTGGAGTTAAACTCTGTTTGTTGTGTACCTTCTTCTGGCACACTTTTTCATTTCACTAAAAATTATGTTAATATATCAATATCTGAACAGCAAAATTATTTAGCAATGACCTTCCATTGCTTTTTCTCATTGCCGTTTTTGTAGAGGGTGTCAGCTGGACAACTTTCAAGTCAGAAATCTTTACCCTGATTATGGAGGTTGTATTGGAATATTTCTATACTGAAATGTTTAATGTTACTCTTATCAGTCTGAATGCAAGGAACTAAGACATACACTTTACTTTTTGATTCAATTTACTTAAATAAACTATCTTTCTGATATTCCAAATTTTGTATTCTCTTTAAAAACCTGTATTAACTTAGAACCTTTTTTTTTAATCAGGAAGCTCCCTCCCTGCCTGTAGGTGTCACTACAGTGGAGCACCCCCTCCTCCCTCCCTTTTATTTCAACCCTCTCTGTCCTCCTCCCATCCAGTAAAACCAACGCGAAAGGGTGTGCGTTTTGAAGGTTGTATGAAGCTATAATATCAAGGGAGACACTACGAGTCACTACAGAAGACCCTGTAACCGGAGCAGCGTTCATCCTATGTGTTTCTCTCAATTACTTCTCAGCTCAGCTGCCCCGGTGACAACCAGAGTGTCCTATCTTGAAAAACAGTGAAGATGCCGCTTACACGGATATTACCTGAAAGTTTGAATACCTGTGATGCGCAGTAAAAATGCGTTGTGACAGCCGGGCTGGTTCCCCTCAAGGTCAGAATCAACGTCGCCGCCTCACGGACGAACACCTTCAGGAGTCGAAGAGGAAGAACGAGCGCAAAGGAGGAGAAGGGGATGCGGTTGTCTTTTTGCCTCGATTCAGCATCAGCAGAGACATTTCTTACTAAAGACGCTGATGGACACTAAAAGAGGAGAGGGTGAACTTGTAAAAGACGTCTGTCCGGAAGTGGTCTGTTACAGCATTGGTTACTGAGGTAAAAATAAAAAAAAACTCTTCAGCATCTTGCCGTTTCCTGCTTTCTTCCAACGGCAGCAACGGTCGGTGACGGTTTACCTGACCGCTGCTGCACGCGACGACGTTCAGTCACATCTACCTAACGTCAACTGACAAAAAAAATGGTCAGTTGGTTCGGTTTCAGGTAGCCGACTTGAACGGTTCGTGTTGGAAGAGTTGGTTAACTATTTCAACATTGCATAGTTGAAGCCAGCTCAACTTCCTTGCTCTTGAAGCGGAGTTTTCTTTCTGTTTACAGGGTAGTTTCTTGTTTTTTTCTTCCAACAATGTTTTCGAGGATGGCACCGCGAGGTCGGAGTGGTTTGGGTCGGAGTTTAGCGGAGCTAGGATTGCTCCTGCTGGCGATACTGGTGCTGTTGGATGGCACCGTGCTGTCCCTCGAAGCAGCCACCTCCTCCGAAATCGACACCCATGAAGGGAAGCCCGGCACACATAAAAACACAAGCAAGAAGTCTTTCCCCGTCCTCGGCATCAAGTACGACGACGTCAGTGTCCCCTTTGAAATTTCACTGTGGGTGCTTCTGGCCTCTTTAATGAAATTAGGTAAGTGTCATTCTATCATGTGGTTGTTACTTGGTTTCAAACCTTAGAATTTAAATCAACATTTTTCAGTTAGTACTAGCCATAAAGAAGGTTATGAAGTTCTCAATTAAAGGAGTCCTAATCATAGGTATTAGGTGACCCTTTCAGTCGTAAAGACACAAAGTTGAAATACATACTAAAAAAATAAAATATACATTTGGATATGTAGGGATTTAAAACTCTGTAACTATACCAGACTATAAACTTCTATAATAAAGCAACAGTCATCTTAGCTCCAAGTCTCAAACACAGTCTTATACAAGTAATAGGTTTTAAATTCAATTAGGGCTGCAAGATATTAGAAAAACATATTGCAATAACATAGCAAATATAAAGGACATATCTTTTATAGATAGCGGTCATTTTTCTAACTTTAATTATATTTTGACATCATCACAACAACATGTTTACTCTCCTTAAGCTTTAAGACATTGGTCATCTAGATCAGATATGGACATAAAAACAATTAAAGTATTTTCAGGTGGAGGAATATATTTTTGGAAAGTAGAGGTGTTTTGCATAATACTAGAAAATATCTTGCTAAAAATTTAATTCAAGCTCCTCTGTGATTACAATGTTTCATTCAATATATTGTTTTTCTTGATTGTCACATTTAAACATGTGACATCAAATGCTCACTTATGCAGTGTGAACGCACCCAGATGTTTTTATTCACTTGAATCAAATTGATGCATACAAGTGCATCAATATCAATATCTGAATAATGCATCCTTATTTTTTGATCTGCTCTTTCACAATTACATCTTTATAAACTCAGTGATCAAATTTTGGTTCTTGACTGAAAGAACCAAAATTTAATTGCAGTCAAAGAAAGTTTAAATGGAGATTAGGTTTATTGTTACTACTAGTATTAATATTTGAGGTTTATTTTTTAGTATTCAGAATGATAGAAAAGCTGACAACAGTATTTTGTAAATTAAGAAAATGCTACTTCTTTCCACATTACTGAAGTGTATTTACCATAACTAGACCTTTCAGAATAACAAGATTTGCTGGATGATACATTGTCCCGGAAATTATCGAGATAAACGATAATATTATTGTTTAGAGACCTTTTTGAAATAATATATGGAAAATAATACATAATAATTTGCCCTCTCAAAAAAAAAAAAAAACTGTAATTTTGTTTTTTTAAAAATAGCAACCAGAAACAATAAATAAAATGGACGTAAAAACTACATAGAACCGAATCCATAAATAAAACGCATTAAGAGGTTTCTGTAAACAAAATTGCCCTTTGAAAGATACTAATCATCAGAATAGAAATGATCAAGCTCATTTTAACTCGTCATGTGATTAATTGGTTAATAAGAATTAATCAATTCATTGCATCAGGTTTAACCATAGCTCCACTGCCATAAACCAAAGAATAGGACCATTTTCATTCCTCATATCCGTGGAATCAGCTTGTTAGCTTGTCGTAATTCTGTTTCACACTACTCTTTATTTTTTTTACAGCTGCCAACTATTTTTTCAATTTCATAAATTTATCTTGATTGATAGCTCTCTTTAATTTTTGTCATTTTAATTTGCCTGCTTTTATGGGTGCGAGGCAGACAAACCTCATCTAAAGAAACAGGTAAAAATCAAGAATGGTCTGTTTTTGAGACAGTATCTTATTTACTAATCTAATGTCCTAAAAATACCATCAGTCCATCAGTTTCCATCAGTTTCTCAACAGTTTCGGGTGCCTACTAAGACCGTAACTTGTAAGCTACATAACACGTTTGACCGGAATAGCTCAATAGTTTGAGGTTGAACCTTTAAGGCAGGTTGCTCCTTAGATCGGTTCACTTAATGCAGTGAGGATCTTTTAAAGTGATGACTAATCAGTTTAACTGACAAGTCTACATGTAGGAAAATAACTTTTATATTTTGCAAGTTTTCCAAACATGACCAACACATGATGCTCTGTGGTAAGACAGAGTCTTGTGGTATTTATGCAAGAATTATTTTAAAAACAAAAGGCTTTCCCGGGTTGACCCATTTCAGGAGTTCATTCAGTTTTTGTGAGCAGTTGGGGTGTGCACCAAAGCATTTTTTCTGTTGATCTCATTTGTTTTCTTTCTCTTTGAACCCTTCTCTATCTTCAGCTATGACTTTCTGTTCCTTCTTGTGGTGTGCTTCTGTCAAAACACTGCATTGTCCTCAGCTTTTCTTCTTTTTTTTTTCTTTTTTTTTTTTCTGAGAGCTAGCAGCCTGTCACTTGACTGTTACATCAGGAGCCTGATTGAGCAGCAGCTTGTAGGCAAGAAGGATGCTGTCTCAGTGTCTGGGCAAGGAGCCCAGTGTCTCAGGGGAGAGGAGAAGCAGAGAGGGGCCACCTGGCTCCAGTAGATTTCTTGCAGGACACAACTCAAGGACGTAAAAAGAAAAACGGCAGCATATGGAAAGTAAATTAATTAATCAACAATTGATAAAATAATAAACAACAGACAAGCAGAAAGTAATTGATCTTGAGGCGGTGGTTTGGAGGATGTTTGGTGGGTGACTTAAATGTTGCTGCTATAAGAGTCTATTTTGGCAGTTTTTCTTGTTCCTAATCGAAGACTTTCTGTAAGCAGGTTCATAGGCCATTTATCTCTTAAGCTTTGTTGCTGGTACATCATGCATTTCTCTCTGTTTTTCATTCAGTTTTAAATATGATCTTTAGGCACTGTAGCTTTCAGTTTTCTGGCAGGACTTTTTTGCAGAAAACTTATCAAGTCGATGATTAACAGGGATGATAGCCCATGTGTCAGGTCTTTGATAGGTTAGGCATGACATAACTTCAAGATGCTATTCTTCTGCTGTACTTTTTCTTTAAACCACCCTTTGTCTACTTCCATTTAGCTTAAACAATCAATGCACAAAATGCTACTATGGTTAAGTACCAAATAGGGCATACATTTAGTGAAAAGGCTGAAGTATAGTATCATTTTCAGATAATAATTTGAATTGCTGATTAAGGGGGGCGGCAGTGGCCCGAGTGGTGGCTTTCACCCCAAAAGTGTTTTTCGCACCTCACTATCTGCTGAAGGTGTTGACATGAAATGGGGACGTCATTTCCCACATCTACCCTACCTAACAACCAGGAGATGAGATGGAACGAGTGTGACATAGTGATAGAGTACAATTCAAATACAGCAGCAGCACAACAAAGCATGGGTGCAAGAAGAGCATCAAGGCTTTATCTTGGCTTTGTTTTTGCAATGTTACAATGCACAGCATAAAGGTAAAATTTTGCAGTGTAGTTTACTTTGTTTTCATAAAATAGTCCTCTAACTTCAGAGGGAACATTTATCTGTATTCCTATCTGTAAACAGGAAAATAAAATTAGGTTGTGGTTGTCCCTGATCCGTGTTGTGATTGTAATACATAACAGCAAGAAGCTAAATAGACACGACTTTACAGCCAGTGATTCGCCCTCCTTGTATGATTCAGAGCTGATCAAATATTCTCAGAAAGACTGTGTTGCCTCAGTGTAAAAATCAATGAAAGCATTGCAGTTTCATTCAATAGCTGATACATGAGCTTAGTTTCTGCTGTAGCTGGAGTTTGGCTGCAACCCAAAACGTCTTTTTCTCACGTGGGAGAGAACACCATAAAGAGCATCAGTTAAAAAAGTTCTATTAGAAGATGTTTTTCTTCAGTTTATGGGAGATTAGTGAAATTTTTATATTTTCTTAAAATTATGACATTAAAACCCTTTATTATTGATTAATGTTATGGCGATATTTGTTTAATGTAATTCACAATTAGTCAGCATGACTTGTAAAGAGTCATAAAACAATATACTATGAGATGTTTCCTGTGGATAAATAAGCTGCAAATTTTATCAGCCACAAAAGATCCACCATGACATCAAATCGGTGTTACAGAAATCTTATTTTTAAGTGTAATATTATTAGTGACCTTGCTATTTTGACTGCTGCTGAATACCTAATAATGGAGAAATTAACATGAAGTGTTGTTTTTGTCTGTCTAGTAGTACTTATCACATATTTATTACTTTTCAGGGATTTTTTAAAATGATTATTTTTGTGGTGTTTTCTTAAAAGACTAAAAACTGTATCAAACATGGACACAGAGAATGAAAGTGGCCACAGAGAAAATGGTTTGTTGACTTGTCCTTGGCCTTAAGAGGAGGCTTAGATGGGCCACTCATCTATTCA